CCGCGGCCGGCCGCCCGCACACACCCCCGGCCGCCGGCTCCCACCCCGCCCGCCGCCCGCCGCCCCCCACCATGAGCGCCGCCGCTGGCTGCAGGCAGAGTCGCTGCCGCCCCGGCCGCCGCTGGCTCCAGTCCGCCGCCATTATTCTTTGTTCGCTGCGAGCGGCGGCGATGTTGTGGGGCTCGGGCGGAGGCTCCATCTTTACCGCGGCCCCTCCTGCGAGGGGAAGGCCCCGAGCGCGGGTGTCCGGCGCCTCCCCGTCCCCCCTCCGTCCCCCCGGCTCTCTCCGGCTCCTGCCTCCTCCTCCTGCTCCTCTTACCGGTGGTACAAGCTCCTCCGTCACTGCTTTCGTTCGCGGCCCGGATCTCGCTGGAGTTTTATTCTCTCCCCCACGTAACACACCGCGTCAAACTACACCTCCGCCGCGTCACTCACCAACACTCCGCTTCTCCCAGCCGCCCGGGCCACAGGCAGCAGCAGCCGCCGCCGACTGAGGAGCCGCAGCCAGGGAGCCAGCCAGCGCCGCCCAGTGCCGAGTGCGCAGCGGCCGCGCACGGAAACAGCCGAGCTCGGCCCGGAGGAGCTCGAGCGGCCCCGCCCCCCGCGCTGGAGGCGGAACTTGCCGAAGGCCTTCGGGCTCCTTCGGCCGAGGCGAAGGCGTTCCGCGGGGAGTGGGGTGGTGGCTAAGGTGGGAAGGGACGCGCGGGGGTGGAGTGGTCTGAGCCCCACCTCGCCGTTTCCGCGGATAAAACCTGGTGGCGGCAATTTGCAGGAGGAAGGCGGGTTTGAGTGTGGCCCCGTGGGGAATTCCCTAGGGGTGTCGACGGCTGGGTGGAAACCCCCGCGCCTGGCTGCCTCTGCAGCGGTAAGCGGCGGGCTCTAGGGCGGCTGCGGCGGGCCGGGCTTGAGCCCTGAGCCCTGGCCCCTGAGCGCCGCCGGCGCCGGGAACTTTGAAACGCTGCGGGGACTTGGCCGACGCGCCGCCGGGTCTGGGACGCGGCTGAGGGCCGGAGTCGGGCGAGCCGGGAGGAAGCGCGGCGGAGGCTCTGCAAACGCCCGGAAGCCTGGGGCCCGGCGGGGGTCTGGGCCGGGTGCCGGGACGCGGGGCCCCTGCGCTGCCCCGGAGTTGTGGCGCCCGGGTGGGAGGGGTTTGCCGGGCCCGCGGCCTCTCTCCGAGAGTCAGCGGAGAGACCTGGCGGCCGCCGGCCCAGCTGTTCGATCTCGGGGTGCGGGGGGCGGGGTTGGGGCGGAGGCCCCGGCACTTGTGGCACCTCGCGGGGTGCAGCCCAGCAGCCAGGCGGTGGATGACCTGTTCGGCCCTCGGGGGTCTCCGAGCAATGACCCGTCCGGACCGAGGTTGCTCTGGGACACTCTGAAAGATGACCCCCCCTTCTCCCCCACCTGCCCGCCTTTTTTTCCTGGCACTCTCCCGGGTCGCTGTCTTTTCACGGCCGTTTCTTACCGCAGTGGTTTGCACCCACTGCGCCCTTTTCTTCACCACCCACTCCCACTCTAAACCCGACAGTGTGACTAACGTTCCCTCGACTACTGAAACGGCTTTCTCAGAGGTCGCTCAAGGCCACGTTTCTGGCTCGCTCTTCTTCTTTTTATTGAACTTTGCAGTCTTCTCCCCGGGCTCTCATGTCTTACAATTCTCTGTCCTTTTAAAGCAAACCTATCTTTAGGAAGCCGTCCGAGAGGACCGAGTGGGTTCACATCTGACTGAGCCCCACCCCTTATTGGCTTCCTGTCACAAAGAAGAGTTGCTCTTCCTGGTACTCTAGATCCCTTTCTGCTTTCTCAGGGACTTGGGGCTGAAGAGGAGCCCTCTTTCCTTCTGTTCTATTCAACCCTTCCTCCACTGCTGGCTTTTCTGTTACTTGAACGTGCTCAAGTCTCTCATTTATTTAAAAATATTTCTCTCCTTAAATCTTTCTCCAGCTCTGACTGCAGTTATGTCTTACCCAGTGGACGTTCTCGCGTGTCCCATTCCTCTGCCCTCTCCAGTCTAGCTTCTGTTCCTACCACTCACCTGAAGCAGCTCTGAATGTCACCTTCGGTCCTCATCTTACAAGACCTCATTCTAGCATTTGGAACTACTGACCACACCCTTATTCAAATACTCTCTTCCCTCTGCTCTTATTTCAGTTTTCCTCTTATTTCTGATTGTTTTTTTAACAAGCAGCTTCTCTGGTGTTGGAATATTGGAATACTACAGAGCTGAGCCCTCATGTACACTTTTCTCGGTGGCCTCATCCTCGACCAGCAGCTTCAGGTACCCTCTGCCACAGACTGTCCAACCCATACCTCAAGCCTAGATCTTGCTCTTGAATTCTGAATTCATATTTCTGACTGGCTTTGCGACACTTTCATTTGGATGACTGGGCCATGTCAAACTCAACCTATCTATCGTATTCCCTCCAGAATCCTCTTCTCATAGCCCTTGGATCAGTAAGGGGCATCCTATCCATCCATTCAGTTCAAGCCAGAAACTTAAGATCCTTCTGACACACATCCGAATCACCTAGACTTGTCTGCCTTAAAAAATTGGATTTGTGGGGTGCCTAGGGTGGCTCAGTCGGTTAAACGTCCGACTCTTGATTTTGGCTCAGGTCATGATCTCAGAGTCACGGGGATCAAGCCTAGCCTTGGGCTCCATGCTCAGTGCTGAGTCTGCTTGAGATTCTGTCCCTCTCTCTCTGCCTCCGTTCCCCCACCCCAACTCTCTCACTCTAAAATAAATAAAATCTTTAAAAAGATAAAAAATTTGATTTGTGGCCTCTCCTTTCCTATGGCTACTTTTCATACTCTAGTATAATCAACCTTCATCATTTGAAGTCCTGCAATGACTATCATCTTGGTCTAACAGAACTGCTTTTGCCATGCTGTGGCCAGAGTCATTTTTTTTTTTTTAAATATAGATCTGATCAAGTCACTACTCTGCTTGAATTCTTAATGGCTTCCCTTTGCTTACCGAAAACAGTCCAAGCTCCTTACCATGGACACCAGACCCTCTACCATATGGGCTTCTCATTCTCTCCAGCTTCCCCAACCGTTCTCCTAGCTCTCAGCACTCCAGCCATATTAGTCTTTTTATTTTTTCTAGGCTCTTTCTTCTCTCTCTCTTTTTTCCCCCTACTGTAGGCTCTCATCTCAAGGTACTTACAGATGTGGTTCTCCTCTGGAATTCTTTTTTGCTATCCACTCCCCCTACCAAACTGTAACTTCTCACGTTCTTTTCTGACTCACCATACATACTTATTTAAGGTCTGTGCAGGTAGGGATTATGTCTGTCTTGTTCACCACCAGCTCTTCCCCTCCTTTCTCATTCGTAGCACCAGCAACAATTTCTAGAATGTCGCAGTGCCTGTTAAATATTTATTGAATAAATAATGAATACGTCTGATCCTGGGCAAAGTTCCTTAATATCTTGGTGTTCAAACCCTGGTTTAGCCACTTACTAACTATGTGACACTAGGCAAAGTGTTCAGTCTTGTCCCTCAGTTTTCCCATATGCAAAATAAAGATGATAATAGCACCTACATCATCGTGTTATTGTGATAATTAAATGAGACCATTGATGGAATGTGTTCTTGGAACAATGTTTGGCATGTAATAAGTTGATTAAAATGTTGCCTATTACTAGCTTTTACTTGCATATCTCACCCTTGTGTCAAATACATTTTCAAAATTGACATTATCAATTTGCTCTTCTTACCCTATACATGATACCAAATTCTTGGAATTATATACTCATAGCCTATTTTTATCACCCATCAAAATAGTAATTTTTTATTTCATAATTCCTCATATTCTTCCTGTCTGTTCATGATGACCTTCAGTTAGGCCCTATCTCTTCATATCTTACTTTGCTAATTTCCTAGGTGCGTTCTGACTGTAGGCCCACTTTCCTTATTCCCTTGTGCCCTGTCGTCAGACTTATGGGCCTCCAACAGTTATTAAACCCTGTATTCTCCTTGAGTTCTGCTCTCTTGGCTTCTGTTCTCACCTAATTTTGTTCATTTACTCATTCATTCAATCATCCATTCATCCAAGTGGAAGTTATTTTACTGAACATTTTGGATATACTCCAGATTTGAAATCGAGTCTCTCAATTTCATCTAGTCTTCTCTAGCATCTCCATGAACCATGAAAATGAACTAGAAATGTCAAACTTCCAGCATCCATTTTTTTGTCTCTGGGACTTGGAAACTACCTTTATTTCTGACTCAATTGTACCCCTGGAAAATATGATCAATACTGGGAAAAGTAGAGAAGAGCACATGGATATAACTTGACTTAGTTTATGATAGGTAAGTGCCCTGAGAGAGATCCAGAAAAGGGGGAAGATGTCATAAGTTGATTATAAAAGGCTTCAAGGAGAAAGTGGTTCTGAGAGCTTCTCTCTAACCACGGCTTCCTTTTCCTTTTCCTGTTATTTTTCTCTTGCTTCTGCTGTTGAACCTAATTATCATTCTCGCTACAAACTCAAGTTCCATGAACCCTGCCTATTCTAGTTCATCCATCACCTCTCATGACTTAATTTGCTTTCCTACCTAACCCCAAAGCCATGGTGACCTATTTCATTTATTCTAAAAGTATCTGTTAAACACCTACTTTGTGCCATGCACTTTTAGAAACTGGGGCTGGAGTAGTGAATAAAACATTGCTTCTGTCTCAAAGGTACTAAAATCGTCAGCCTCTCCTCTTTCTGACATTTCTTTTTGTCCACTCATTTGTGCTCTCATCCAGTCTCATGGTTGTAAATACTCGGTGTATGCTGACAACTTTCAAAATTATACCTTCCCCACAAATCACTCTTCCAAACTCCAGGCTCATTTAAACAAGTACCTATGCACACCTCGACTTGGTTATTGTCTTAGCCTGGGATCCCCCAGGAAGCAGACCTGAGGCATAAGCCTCTGTGCTGTTATTTTATTAGGGAATATAATCCCTGGGAAATGAGGATAGGGAAAAGAAGTGAGTCAGGGGAAGAGGTCAAGATTCAGTTAATGGGATGGATGCTAACCCTACTCTCCTCCCCCAAATTCAGATACTTCCATTTTGTATGGGCCTGAACATGAAGCAAAGCACTATTGGGTGATTATGGCCTGAGGTATGTTGGCTGTGGCAATAGGGACAGAAAAGAGGCCAAAGGCCCCATAGGCAAGGAGACCAAAGGGACCTGAGATGCTATAGATGTCTAATAGACACCTCAAACTCAATATATCCAAATCTGAACAGAATTTCCCCCTCACATTTATACTTGCAGCTTTTCCCATCCTAATAGCTGAGGTTAAAAATCTTGGCGTGATTCTTAGTGCCTTCCTTTCTCTCACACCTCACATCTATTCCTTTAGGAAAATTTATTGGCTATACCTGCAAAATGTATCCAAATCTGACTGC